TGAAAAGTGGAAAATGATCTGATATTATGTTTTTATGTGTTCATATATTTGTTGTATATGAATAATTGTTTTTCATAAAGATTTTGGTGATCTACACCCTGCAATGACATGAATAGGGTATCTCACTAGACCTTTCGGTCTAACCCTCGTTTTGTGATTTTTAAATATGTATTGCAGGAGGTGCAGAAGGTAAGGGAAAGGGAAAGATGTAGTACTTTCCTATATGCATTTTGGCATGAAGAGTTGCTTTTGATGAATAGTTTTGTTTGATTAGTACGAGAAATGTATTTTGAATTTTTGGACCTTGTATTTGGTCATGTTAGTTTCTTGTACTAAGGGACCTGAATGGTATATGAAATGTATTTCTTTTGTATGAAATATGTGTTACATTTAATGTGTGGTTTGGGGCGTTACACCAACCGTCACTAAAGATTACCCCACATAGATACCACCATATTATTCTTATCTACAAAATAAGGCAACATGCATGCAAACAATCATCACATATGTGATATCTTCTTTCACAATTCAATTATACATCATACCTTTTCATATTCATGCCCTTATACATACATGTACTTATCTCTTGTCCTTGAGATATCTTCAATTATCGAGTATAGGCTATAATCCATTCTATAGATAATGCTTCCATATTTCGAGCTCCACTACCACTGTTACTAATTTTAAATCATACATTTTCAATTACCATGAAATAAATACTATATCATTTCCCTTTTTCACCGATATACCTCACAGTTCCAACATTGTAACATCATTATATACAAAAAAAGAATCCTCTGTCTAATCTGGCAGTGACACTCTTGGCATACTTCTCGGTCTTCTTTCCAATCTCTTGCATACTTCATTTACTTTATAGCTCGATCAAGTTTACGATTTTATATGGTTACATTACATACTTCATGATAATTGATGTACATTTAGTCTTCCTGACTACATGAACATCATTCATCTTACTCCAATTTTAACACTTTCAGATCATGCTAACATTAGCAATCATAGATACCAAGATGATGATGTTCACTAAGTAACTTATTATATTTCCATATTGCTTTCTCTAACCTCTTATCAATTCAACTATCTTTACTTTCAGTTTTACCTTTAATATTCATTCCTTCATCCTTTTGTGGCATCTGAAACATGCCAATCATTCTTTGAAGGGTTTTGATTTAACATAGTATTCTCTTACCGATTCTAGTGCCCATACTTTCTTTTACTACACTAGAGATTTCTTACTGGTAGGGCTATTTTTTTACACAGATAATGCATTAATCTGCACATTATCGTTTCCATCCTTAAGTTTTTTTTCTTGATTCCTATATCATTTCACATTTGAGTGATGTGCTTAACGATAACAATATTGTGTTTGCTGTTGACTTTGACCAAGTTATTAGTCGACTACCAACCCTTGAGTTATTTAGCATTTCACCATATTCATATTTGAATTCATCCTTTTGCAACCATAGAAATTAACTTAACCCATTTTTTATTTATATTATCATTGTGTTCATCCTAGAGTCTAGCCACAACTCTCTCTCCTTTGACGACAAATACGTACAATCAGTCGACTTCGCTACTTGTTTTACCAACTAATCAATTAACTCCCCTTTCACAACACACATGCCACCATTTGGTTCTAATGACCCAATTCATGCCCTTATATATAGTCATTCTTAAACAAGGCATTTTGTAATGACCTTTTATATGCTCGTTGATATTTAGGATATTATACCTTATTCATAACATTGATTGTTCTAAGTGCACATCTTTACTTATTTCATCATCTTCAACTTATATTGCAACTTAGTATATCATCAATACTTTGAGTTCCTACTATTCTCAAAGCTAAAACATATGCTCTCCCCGCTAAAGCATATTAATGAAGTTTGTCACCAAAACTTTATTCACCAAAACCACTCTACATCTATTTTATCTCATCTTACCATGTGTTTTGCATAAACACATCTCTATCAATGTCATTATATCCAAGGATATTAAACCATCTAACGACTTCTCTATTTTAATTTGGTTTAAGACTAACCCCAAATTAACTTAAATCACCACTCTCATCACTATAAATCAATCTTTAGTCACACGTCTATCAATAATAAAATCTTTCATTCTCAGTTTAAGTTTAGGTTTCAGTAACCTAATTCACTTAAACTTTGCTATGATACCACTTGTAACATCCCAAAATTTTGAATACTTAAATATATCATAATGAGTATCCCAAGATCAAACACTTACACTGCAGCGGAAATAAAATCTCTAATCTTACAAATTATATCATCATCTAACATTACAATCTTGACGAACATAACTTTGCTCTATATAGCAATGCCTTGATCTGCACATGTCCTTCTTTGATACTAATCTTTATCTCTCTCTTTATCCAACTTTTCTTTCCAGTCTAATAGTCATCTGGGTGAAAAAGCTTTAAAAGAGTTTTGGGTGAGCCCTAGGCCCAGTGAATCCGCGGTTTTCATGCATGAACAATAACTTTTACGATAAAAAAATTTCACGAAGCTTCATAAAATAGCATGCCTTGATGAAAATAATACTTTTGACAAAATAAAGATATTATAGTGCGTGTCTACGTCACAAAGCAACGACGTCATGGGAGATGTCTACCTCATACAACATTACCTGGTGAACTTACACAGCATGTCCGCACTTACGATTTAGACAAGCTCACAAAGCATGCTCGTCTTTACAAAATCATACCGTAGTACATCCCCATTGACATACAAGTACTCAAAACACATATTATAAAATATCGAACTTTTCACGCATATATAGCATATCAAAAATCTCGAGAAACTTCAATCAATCTTGTGGATAGTTATAAATAAAGCATGCAACCATTTTAAAAATAAATCACGTGTAACTCACAATAAATGGCGTAGCCCAAACCAGTCTTTGAAGTGGCTAGCGTCTCCCCCATTGATGCCAAATTAGCTACGATGTAGAGCACCGTCAACTCTCATTACAGCATCCACCGTCACCTTGTCTCACAATAGTTCTCCTTTTTGACCCAAAACTACACATAAAGCTACAAACTCCCATTTTATACTAAGTCCCATCGGCGGTTTCACGGAATATGAAACGATATGCCATAATTAATGGTCGTAGGTTTCATGACCATTCAGTTTCCTGTTATTAAATTACATTCAATTTTAGGGTCTAAACCCTTCACTTTGATTGCATTTATACTACAAGTCCTTGAAATTTAACGACTACCAATTCCTATCCATTTTTTTTTTTATTACAGACACACAAGACAATTTCTGCACAACAAATAGATGCATAAACTGAACAATTTTCGTCTATGGTAGAATCAGTCGGGGGACCTGAGAGGCGGTTTTTGAGGCCGAACCTAAACCAGTGCTTAAGAGAAAGCTATCTATAAGTACAAATTAAGAACTATCATTATCCATGAAGATAACCTAACAGCCACTATTAGATGTGTGTTAGTGTTTAATGTAGACATTAGAATTTGCTCCAAGATATGTTAATTCTCCATGATGATTCAAAGTAAAAATTAACTCATAAAGTGAGTAGAACTACATATAACTGAACTAATGTGAAATTGAACCAGAAAAGAGAGACTATCTTGTGCAATGCTTATGTTACATTACCTCTGGAACAAACGCTTCGATAAACCTTCGGGGGAAATGTTGAATTGATTACCGTGTCTTTTCAATGAAATTGGACAACTGATTGAGGTGATACATCAAAATCACCATTGTTATGTCAAACGAGGTCTGTGAAGAAGAAAGGTATCTGTTATCTAACCAAAAATGTTTTGGTCGCATATGAGAAAAATCACAGAAKAAGAAGAAAGCTTTTGGTTTTGGTCGCAAATATCGGATACAGAAGAAGAAGAAACCGGCCCAAATGGGTAATTTTAGAAGTCTGGTAAGAGAAGGTAGGTTTAACCCAATTAGAATTTGGTGTTATCGAAATACTTGCATAAAGAGCTTGTACATTGTGCATAAAAATTTGTAATTAAGAGATCTTTGAATTTCTTGCACAGAATGGTAGTACTATATGCTTTAAGAGCTGTAATTAAGAATTTGGCCTAAATGGTTATTAATGTAGTAAAGATATGCACGTTATTTTGTTAAGAGCTTAACTAAAACAAACTGTGATAACCAATGTATTTTCGTCTTTTTCATATATTTATATCACATTCTCTAATTATCTCATTCACTTAATTATTACAACCTAATTTAACCATAATCGTTGATCAAAATAATAAACGATTCAAATAAGTTTGTAAAGTTAGTAGTAATTAACTTGTTAACAAATGATTATATATAAATCTAGGTAAAAGATTGTGTGAGAAGTAAAGTTTTAATGAGAAGCGTAAGAAAGAATATGAACCATTCTTTACTTTTAATCTCATCTTCACCCATGAATTGCGTTTAGAAGGGAATTGATCTGGTGTATCTTGATGCATCTCATTAGTGTTAACATTCAATTAAGATTAATCCAATGGTGAAAAAATTCATCACCCTTCTCATGAAAACTTCCCTTATCAACCAGAACCAATCCTATATATAGGTAGATTCAACCGATAAAAGTAACTAAATAAGAAAACGGCAAAATCACACATGATTCTACATTAACAGTCAACAAAAGAGTGTCCGGACGAAGTAGCCCATGACCTCACTTGTGACTTTATACGTATAAAATCACATGTGATTTGTCTATTTTCTTATTTAGTTATTGTTCTCGTATGAACCTCGTTTTGTTTCTACATATTATTGTATGTTATTTTATTCTATGACTTGTTCGATTTCATTGGGCATTAGTGGGCTACATATATATGCAAGTTATTGGGCTAAAAGCCCACTTCTGAGCCTACTTTGCTTTAAATATTTTATGTTCCAAGACTCCAAGTTCTAACGGCTATGACTATGAGAGCTTCCTTGTATCATAATAAATAAAGCTTTTTAATTCGACCTTGCCATCTGCTCTGCCCGGAATGAAGCCGGAGCAGCGGCCATGGACRCTCCACCTACAAGCAAAGGCGAAGAACTTCAATTTTAAATTCAAAGCAACGAAATACTTACCCACTTGCTACAATTTCTTACACTTCTCTATTTTCCTCAAGATTTCGCCTCTACTTATCCGAGTGAGTTCTGATAATAAACCGACAACCACAAGCAGATCATTGAAATCGAAAATTATCGGAGTGATTGAGAAAGTTCGAAGTAGACCCACCAAGAGAAAAGCTTTTGCTGCTCCCAAGCCCTTGAGAATCAAACGGTTGAAATGGGTTTCTTGTGAGGTATGTTTCAATGGCTAAATTGCATTGCATWTAAGGTGTTTGACAAAATTACATTCAGAGCTAGATGAAACAAATAGTGTTTGTGCCTGGTAACTTTTATCTTGTATATGTCTAAATTCAGGAATATTTTCCCTCATTCTAGACCATCTTGACAACCTAATTCGTCTTAAATCGAAAGGAATTATCATCTAAGAGAGAAACAGCAATTGCACATAGAAATCGAATGTATTTCTCTTGCTTGGAGCATTGGATGAGAGGATCGGTAGGCAATACTTGATTAAAGAGTGTCCTCTGGATAAGAATCATCTAATCTTAGGGTTTAGGTGAACATTTAAAAAAAAAAGACAGTAGCTTTCTGTTAAAAGCTGTTTGAAAATTACCATTTTTAGAGCAGGCAAACTATATAACTATATTATCAGACACATTGGAATCCCAGCTTGCTGTAGACATATTGTAAAGATGAAGGACGGAACTTAAAGCCAATGCAATGAAGTATGCCAAATGTGGACGTTTTTTTGGTTTAGGGCTGATGGAGTATTGACATTTCTTATGATTGCTATATCAACTGTGGTTCAAATACCTCTTGGTTGATGACTGAATTCAAACTGATTTGAGACTGCTAAGACTCAAATTCAACTGTAGTAACACTCTGCTTGCTTATAGAAAGAACAAAAAATTGAGTTCAATTTGTTTTTTCCACCACCATTTAACAATTGCAACCCTACTTTGAAGTCTTACATATGACATTATCTTGTAATGATATCTTAGGGGACAATATGTGCTACCACTGTGGTGATTGGGAACCTTGCTCTTTTGATTCAGTCAATCTCTGAGAAGGATACAAAAGGGATCATCATTCATAGTTTGAGCAYAATGTTGTATATCCTGAAACCATTAAGGACATCTATAAGGACAAACGCGAGTAAGTTTATGTTAATTTCAATTATAGTAATGGTGGGATATCCTCTTTGGTTGCATTTGCATATGAAGRGCCATTCAAGTTATGCYGAAAGAATCATTGTTTCAAGATACATTAGGAAGGCTTGGAAATGGGCTGCTTCTAATGGGTTTTTAGGTGTAGTTGCGCAGGTAATGTAGATTTGTTCGGATGATATTGTATCTGAAAATGCTACTACTTATTTCTTTCTGATATCTTGTTGCAAGAGAACTTTTTTCCAGTTTCAGAATTAACTTATAATGAGAGATTGTGCTGCTTGTTCTAATCTGTTCTTCTGCTTTTGGAGATTCTAGAATCTGTTGGTTAGTTCCATCATTTTTGTTTTAGGTTGCATTGCATGTTATTAAATATATTAGGCACTAGAAGAGAAACTATAAGCAYAAAAACGGTCTATTTCATCACCCATTTTCTCAAGTGGGAAAAGATGGGTTGATTTAAAGGCCAAGGTTTGGGGCTCCTCCTCATAGATTGCCAGTTCGAGTCTCCTCAGGCCATTGGGGACTTGCGAGGTTGTTATCTCCAGGGTCGTGAGATAAGTCGAGGTGTGCACAAGTTGGTCTGGGCTATTAGGGTTACAAAAAATGAGTTGTTTTGGGGGTTATTACAAGAAGTACAGTTGGCTGCAATGATCGATAAAGAATCTGTGAGAAGGATGCAGCATGTTCTCAGCTCGATTTACATATCACTTTCTTTCTTAGAATTTCTCTTCTTTAAGATCATGTGAAACTATTTTACTCCGTTGATGAAAATGAAGCTAGCGAAAGACGAAAACTCCAACTAAATTACTTTGGAGAATCTTGATCTAACTAAAACTTCGAAGGACAATACAAAGTGCAGAAACACTTGGCATACAAAGAAATATATCAACATGACCACACAAAGATATGCAAGTGACATGTAAAAACATGAGAAAAAAGAGACGGGATTTAGGTGGAATCGCAAAACGGGAACAACCCATGTGGTGGAGGGTTAGGAGACCATTATGTATTCCGTTGGAATCCCATGGACTTTTCCTTCTTTATATATGTTGGGATCTCCTTTTCTTTTGCTCAAAGGTTTCTTTTATGAGTAATCTAATAAGATTTTGCATATGAATGCGGGTTCATTATGTATTTTATGTCATTTATTATGGTAATAATCCGATTTAAGAGTGAGGTTATGGAAATGTTCAGCTATCCAGCCTAAATAGTCCATTCTTGCCGTCTTGGTCTAATCCGGGCTGGTCCATTTGATTTGGGCTTTTCGTCTGGTCCGATAGAAAAGTGCAAAATTACAAAATCATACTCGGGTCGGGGTTTGTGGAAACTTCGGTTTTTTCGTCTCTAATTTTTCGAAATTACGCCATCCAGGTTTGTATTTTATTACGAAATGGTCTGTTAACTGCATCTTTTATGTGAGGGTTTTTTTTTATTTGTTTTTATTAGCAAAAACTAACTTACAAGTTGTTAAAGCATTTAAAAAAGAAAAAGAAAAACTAATTTACCCTCCCCCAAAGTAACTCCACCGTTTTTCATCCCCTCCCACATCGCCGGCTAGTCATACCACAAGAGTTGTTCTCTGGCCCAATCACCACTTTAGGGATCCGTCGATATCTTCACGTTCCTTCGCTTCGGTGATTTGACCGATTATTGGTCAATTTGCATCGCTCCTATACAAAATATCATCTCCCTCAATCCTCATTTGCGGACTCTAAATTTCACTTCTGCTTATCGATTAACTCTCAATCACTACCGTTCCCTCATCATGAACTTGGTAGTCGCTGCATCTCACCACCTGGGTTTCTTTCGGAGAGGCAAACGAGATGGTTGCCGATGAGTTCATGAATGTGGGTGAACCAAAATGAGAGTGTTCCATCAAGTGCAAAAAGGATGAAATTTTGGTTAAGTCCTTGACCAATTAAAACCTTAGGGCTTTTTGGTTCGCGAAATTCGAAGGAATGTGATATTTAAATTCCTTTGACCAATTTTTTTGATGGTGTTTTTAGGGGTGTACAAAAAACCGTCAACCAGTTAAACTCTTCCAATCCAACCCGCTAACAACCCAATTAAACCCAACCCGCTAACAACCCAATCAAACCGCCAACCTGCTACTAATATATATTTATTTATAAAATTTATATATATATATATATATATATGGTATTTACAAAATTATAATTTACAGCCCAAAAATATGCATATTTTTTAGTCTAATGTATAACCCAAAAATTAAATACATGTGTCACTTGTTCAATTTATAGCCCAAAAGAATCCAACTATTGTCTAGGTCAAATCCAATAGGACCAATACTCCAATTCAATTTACTGATTCAGTTGTGAACTTCAAAAGGTGATAAAGATGGTGATAAGGTTAGTTACTTAGTTTTATGCATGATTGTTTTTTAAAATTTTATTATGCATGTTAATATGTTATCGTTTGTTGAGTTTATGTTCTTTTTTTTCATCTATGTGTATACGCTACCAAACTAGAATCACCACCAAAGACTGATTCTAACGAATCTCAAATGAAAAAATTATTTGAATCATTTTTGCAACAACAATAAATGGACGTGTCGGAAAACATGAACGACGTTTATAGATATTTGGTTGATGGATCTATCAATCCAAAGACTCCATGATTTGAGGTACTACTTTGGTGAAAAGATAATACTAATAGGTATAACATTTTGTCTATGATAACTAGATATGTTCTTACTATTCCTATATCTATAGTAGCTTCTGAATCCGCCTTTAATACTAGCGGTCGTATTTTAGACTCATTTAGAAGTTATTTGAGTCCAAAAATGGTGGAGGCCCTTATATGCACACAAAATTGGTTCAAAGGGAATAATGAGGAGATTCAAATAAGTGAATTTTTGGATGAAATTTCATCTTATTACTTTCTTGAAGATGGTAAACTTAACAATGGTTCTTTTTTCATGCTTATATATTCTTAATAAATGGTTTAATATTCTTTTTGAATTGTAGACAAACTCAAGGAGAATGCAACATCAGAGTCGGGAAGGTTCAAGACAGTCGTACTTGGTTGAGTGTTTGAATTGGATGCTATCATTTAAACTTTTGAAATTTGATTCCAATACTTGAGGATTTAGATATATTTTTGGATGATTGTAATAACTAATGACTTTGTTTGGTATACTTTTAGTATTATTTATCATATTTCATTTGCCAACTTTATGAATTTTAGTAACCCGCCAACCCAACTCAACCTGCCCTAACCCGTAAAGGATGGGTTAGGTTGAGATTTTCCAAACCGTCATAATTGGGCTGGGTTATAAAAATGTCAAAAACCACCCAACTCAATCCACGTACATCCCTAAATGTTTCATTCACGGATAAAATTATTTGGATTCCACTGAATTCTAATGATTGAGGGATTTGATTATTATTCGACATAAATGAAATATTTGAATTCCATTTCGTTGAAAATGGTATAATTTAATTTTAAAGCACAAAATTAATTTTTGAATTCATTTTAACTTACACCCCCACCTCATTACCCCTCGCCACCAACCCGACCACACACACCAACCCCACCGTGCGCTAACATCTATGCCCCCACTACCACCACCACCATTGCAAATTAGTATAATCATTCCACCACCCTTCCACCGCTACCCCCACCCCCACTATTGTCGTTGTCACACCCTCTCCCCCCACCGCACCACCCTACCACCACCACCGCAACCTGACAGGCTGACACCACTACATCACTATTGTTGTTATCATAATTCCCTACATAACACATGCAAATTCCAGTTCTATTTTTTGAAATTTCATTCTGGTTCCAACCAATTAAATGTGTGGTCAAATTTCATTTCTATTCTTTTAAAGTCAAATTTCTCTGAGATCCGTTTGGTTTGTAGGATTGTTTTTGAGGGATTTGGATTTCACGAAGGGGTTTGGATTGGAAGGAATTTGGATTCATTTATATGTTTTGCCTGTAGGATTTGGAATAGATTTGAAATCTATACCTAAGAGGACGTTTGGTTTGCCGGAATCCGTCGAAATCTGATGGAATTGGAATGGTCAATTTTGTTGACCAAATTACACTCCAATGTTTGGTTACTCATTGAATGGATATGGATTCCAAACATTCTCTTATTTAAAGACTTCACAATTCCTTCATAAATAGATGGAATTGAAATACATTCCATCCAAAATTTTATAAATGACAAAAATACCCCCATTACAACTTAATAACCCTAGTCGCATCTTTTTCCATTCTCATCTACTGCTTCCAATATCGAACCTGGTTTCTCTCATCTTGAACGACTTGTTTGATCTTCATCATCGATCGAAAACTGTAGCTATGGTTTATACTTATGATTGATGCTTCCAATTTCAATTTCTGCATACGATTTTGATTTTTGCATACTATTTCTGCTTACTATTTCCGGTTTATGTTCCGATTTATGTTTCTGATTTCTGTTCCGAGATGGTAGCCAAACAGAGCTCACAAAATCTAAAGGTCAAACAATATGCTCATTAAATGTTAATTTTATTATTATTTGTGATTAAAAATTTAAAAAAAATATCAAAGAAAGGGTATTTGTGTTCTTTTTCATAATTCAATTCCAATTTTGTTGCAACCAAATAGGCATATTCCAATTCATTGGACATATTACATTCCATTCATGTCAACCAAACACTTGGTCGAAGCTGATAACATTACATTCCAATTCCTTCCAAATTCCAATTCCATTGATAAATTCGATTTTTTCAGAAATCATTCTGCGAACCAAACACCCCTAAGTCGTGTTTGGTTTGTAAGATTTGGATCGGGAATTTTTTTTCTTTTTGTAATTATTCGTTTGTTTTATAAAGAAATTATTTTTATTGGTAATTTATCTTTTTGTAAAAACGCACATAAGGTATTATCATGTTATCACAAACATAAGAAATTAAAGTATTTTGACATTACTGATTTCTCCAATGCTGTATATTTAATCACCTATTCTCTTTCCTTTTTCCAAAACTACATATTTAATCATCTAATGCATAGTTCCAAAACTCCATATTTAATCATCTAATTCATTGTTGCAAAATATGTATTTGATCATCTTATTCATTGTTTCAGAACTACATATTTAATCATCTAATTCATTGTTCCAAAATACATTTTTAACCACCAAACATGTTCATCCAAAATACATATTTAACCACCAAACCTGCTCATCCAGAATACATATTTAACCAAAAAATTGTTCTTTCAAAATCACATATTTAACCACCAAAAATTTTCATTCT